ACTGCTCACTGTGGTCTTGACCTGCCAGGTTGAAGCGATCCTCCCACCTCAGCCTCCAGAGTAGCTGTGACCATAGGTGTGAGCCACCATGCCTGGCTAATTTTTAAATATTCTGTAGAGACAGGGTCTCTCTATGTTGCCCAGGCTGGTTTTGAACTCCTGGGCTCAGGCAATCCTCCTGCCTCAGCCTCCTAAGGTGCTGGGATTACAGGTGTGAGCCACTGTGCCCAGCCCAGCTAATTAAAAAAAATTTTTTTTTCATAGAGATGGGGTTCCTGCTGTGTTGACCTGGCTGGTCTTGAACTCCTAGCCTCAAGTAATCCTTCTGTCTTGGCCTCCCAAACTGCTGAGATTATAGACGTGAGCCACTGTGCTCAGCCTACGTTGAGTCCTTTGTCTACAATACGATTTTTGAAAATACACTATTTTCAATGTGAGTTAGACAACTGATTCAAATGATCCATGTTAAAGAGTCTACTTACATCCTTTAGAGTAATAATGTTTGGATGCTGTCCATAACGAAGAAGAATTTCAATTTCTTCTGTTGGGTCTCTCTTGCTTTTATCAATAATCTAAAAGGCAAATATTTTAGAACAGAAGCTCATGAACTATACAGTTATTAACTGTTTATAGCTGCAGACCTTGGGCATTACCTCATGTAAATAGTATATAAATAAGTCATTTATCAATCAGTTTTATTCAACTACCTGGCCAGTTTGTTTGATCAGAAAGCCAGTCTTAATATAGATGGCAAGGCTATAAATTACAACTCATGAGTCACATTCCCACCATGCCTCTCCAATATAAGTTTGTAGTAAGTTTAGGACTTACCAAAAACTCAAAAAGTCTTGAGAAAAGGTACCAAGAACACAGTTAACGTATCTTTTCTTCTATCCTTGAAGGTCTTAAACATTTGGGAACTCTAATCAATTTCTAACCACCCATCAATACAGATAATTAAGAGCTAGATATAACACCACCACTAACACCTGCTTATTGAATATTTCCTTTAATAAAATTCTTCAATTGAATATCCTGTTAGTTGTAAGCTACTTATAAAAGCTAATTACCAGTTAAGCAGAACAATATTCTTTTTGAAGTTAGGCAGAAAGCTACACAGAAAATCACACCTAGAATTTTATTTGGTTAGAATTTAGTTCAATTATTTCAATAAAGCCCTTTAAAATAGTAATGTAGCTTTCTAACCCTTTTATTTTGGCTGCTCCTTAAAAATATTTCTCTTAATATTTTAATCTGCTAAACTAATATTATACAAAAAAGACAAATTTTGCTTTCAATTCATTTAAAGAGTGATCTGAAACAAATTAGGTGGCCTTTGTATGTTCAATTTTAAACAGCTTAGTAATTAATATATGTACTAAATATCCAGGCCCTCCAGCAACCTAGGAAAGAGGTTACAACTCTCAGTATGAGCCCAATCTTCTATCTGAAATAGATTTAGAGTTGACCCTTGAACAACCCAGTTTTGAACTATGAGGGACCAATCACACGTGGATTTTCTTCTGCTTCTGCCACCCCTGAGACACCAAGACCAACTCCTCCTCCTCTTCCCTCCTCAGCCTACTTACATTTTCACCTTATTCAAGGTGAAAATGATGAGGATAAAGACCTTTACTATGATCCACTTCCATTTAATTGAATAGTAAATATATTTTCTTTTCCTTATAATTTTTTTGAGACAGGGTCTTGCTCTGTTGCCCAGGCTGGAGTGTAGTGGCACGATCATGGCTTGCTGCAACCTTGAACTCCTGGGTCCAAGTGATCCTCCCACCTTAGCCTCCTGAGTAGCTGGGACCACAGGCACATGCCACCACACTCAGCTAATTTTAAAAATTATTTGTAGAGATGAGGTCTGGCTATGGTGCCAAGGCTGGAGTAGAGTAGCACCATCATAGCTCACTGCAGCCTGAATCTTCTGAGCTCAAGCAATCCTTCCATCTCAGCCTCCTGAGTAGCTGGGACTACGGGCACACGTATCCATGCCTAGCTAATTTTTAAACAATTTTTCTGTAGAGACAGGGTCTTGTTATGTTGCCCAGGCTTGTCTCAAACTCCTGGCCTCAACCAATCCACCAAGGCCTCCCAAAGTGCTAGGATTACAAACGTGAGACACTGTGCCTGGCATGATATTCTTAATAACACTTCCTTCTCTCTAGCTTACTTTATTGCAAGAATACAGTATCTAATAAATATAACATACAAAATGTGTGTTAATGTGTATATATGCTATCAGTAAGCCTTCTGGTAAACGGTAGGCTATGAGTAGTTAAGTTAGGGGAATCAGGCTATACACAGATTTTCAACTGCTTGGGGATCAGCACTCCTAAGTGCTGTGTTATTCAAGGATGAACTGTAGTCGTAAAACAGTTCTGTATTTGGAGAAGAGGGAAGATAAACACATAGGTGCCCACTGCAATCAACTGCAAACGATAATGTGGAATTAGGCAAATGGGTGATTAAGAGGACAGGTATATGGAACAGACATGTTAATTTAAGAGATGATCTGGGACTAGTCTTTTGAAAACCAGAAGACACTGAGAGGGGTTGTTTTTGGCATGGATCTGCTAATCTGAGCCCAGTTTACATTAGATCTATACTTGTGCTTGTGGATCTCAAATATGTAGTAATTTCAGTAGCATCCAGTTGTATTGGGATGGGTTTTATGAATCATTTAAGTCACAAATATCCACAAACAGCTTGGAGATATTTTTGAGGTTTTAGGCATAGTCCTCAAGGTTTCTGTAATGCAAAGGGGCCTCAGGACATTTCTGCTTGTTATCATGTATTTATGGAGGCAAGACACATCCTTAAATTGCCCACCAAATATGTTATTAGTCTTTTCTCCTTTCATGTAAGCAATTTGAAAATTTCTATGTATCTTAGATTTCAGTAAGAGCAAGGAATAAGAAAATAGAAAATTAAATGTATTTCTTTAAAAATTTATTTCCTTCTTTAACATTAGCTTTATTGTCCTTCCAATGAAGCAAATTAAATGTATTTCTATGGTTCATCCTATCCACACAAAAGTCCTATACACACTGATGACTTTGAAGCAGTTACATCTGAGTTTAGAACAGTAATAACAACTAATGTCACTATCTCTCTAAACAGGAGCTATGCATATTTATAAACCAGTCTTAAGGTTTAAATAAGTTGAAAGCTTTAGATGTTGTTTGAATTGCTTGAGATTGGAGAGCAGAGGCTACTATTCCAAGAAGTGAAAAGACAGATTTGAATATAGTGTTTGTTCACTTACTTAGTTGCAAGTGAACAAACAAAGGTTTGAAATTCAAACTTTATTGCAGAGCTAGGTTTCTTGGTTTTTGGCTTAGAAAATTCTGTCTTAGGATACTTGATGAAATTAAAACAGCCAATGATAGTGAATTTTATAGTGGTTTTTTATTCTTTTATTAGTTCCAAGATCCTTTTAGATGTAAAGAAAGGTATGAACATTTTTGCCAGAGAAGATACAAACATACAAAATTTTGCATACAATTTTGAGGAATTTGCTGACACCCTGAGCATAAAATGGGGACTTCTGAGAGCAAAAAAGATACTTTAAAAATCACTTGAGGTGTAAATTGGTACTGCTCTGGGCAAACTAGATGTATAACCACCTTACCTTTAGCTTATAGGGTTCTAGATAGATTAAGGTCTCTAAATATCACTAGCCAGATATTTAAATTTAATTTTTTTTATAACAAAAGACATTTTTAACAATGAGAGGAGTGTAATTTTTAACTGGTACTGACATGCATTAACAATAACTGTACAAATTAGATTTTAAATAAAAAATATTTACCTTCACTGCAAACTCCATGTTTGTAGCTTTATGTATACATCTCTTGCAAACAGAGTAGGAGCCAACTCCAATATCTTCTTTTACTTCATATCCATCAGTAAACTGAATACTGTTCCTGTGTAACTGCTACAAAAAATTATAAATTGGTGAAGAGTCCCATAATGTCTTTAGTGCATTTTCTAATAGGGAAGTATGTTACTCAGCATGCATTGTTGATGCTCTACATATAAATGAGTAAGAATAAAAATACATCTTTATAGTACTTATTCTTCTATAAGTGATTTTGGAAGTGTTTACAATGAAATGTACAGCAAGAAATGTGCCTTAAAAAAGCTTATGTTAAAAATAAAAATTGAATTTGCCCAATAGAAAAAACGGAGCTACTTGATGTGGGGCCCATATCCTTGTCTGTGATTCAGCCTCATTCCACTTCCGAATCAGCTATAGGTTTTTAAGCACATTTGCAAATGAGAAGTTTGAAATCTATGTATAGAAGAAAAGGATTTAGGAGGATTCAGAATTAGAACATCTGAATTCTTGTCTCAGATGCACCACTTACAGGCTGTGTAACTTTGAGCCTGTATTTTCTCAGAGAGTAATGCTGAAGATTAAATAAAAACAATGTATTTGCAAGCAATACCTATGAGCGCCATTTTGGGCTTTCAGTAGCCACGCCCTTCTTTCTTCACCCCGAAGTCATAGCTTTATACAACTTCTGCTAAAGAAGCTGGTCATGGGTTAGGGACTAATAACATATACAGCAGATAATGAACAGTAACTTATTGATTCCATAAACAGGCTGAGGAAAGTTGTGCTGCCCTTGGCTATACTGATATGAGACCTCCATGCCCATGAGCTTTGTATACTATACATTAAAACTTGAATTCTGTAGAATATACAAGTTTGTGGTTTCTATGTTAGGTACAGAATTTATAATTTAAAAAGTTGCCATACATTCCTATGCTTGCATAGTAAATGGCACAGGCTATTCCAACATGCGCTCTGCTTAAAAACCAGCGTTTTAATTGGTTTTCTACAAAGTGGAAAGCAGGATAACTGACTTATGAAAAAACTTTAGAGCAAAAGCAACTTAATCATCAAGCAAATCCAAGTACAAATTATATACTAAAACAATCTACTGCTTCAAAAGATATATCTAGTTCCCTTTGATTAGAAAGATGACTTAAGATTTGAGTTCATTTTTATTTCTTGTATCTTTCTAAGGCCAACGTTGCCAAACTATGGTCAGTGAGCCAAATCTGAATTATTGCCTGTGTATGTAAATAAGTTTTATTGGCACACAGCCATGTCCACTTACTTATGTATTGTCTGCGGCTGCTTTGTGCTACATAGCAGAGTTGAGTAGTTGTGACAGAGCCCATATAGCCTACAAAGTCTCAAATATTATCTGACCCTTCACAGAGAAAGTCTGCTGACCCCTGTTCTAAGGCATCAAAGAACCAGAAGACCTCAATTCATCATGGCTGACCTGATGGAGGCAAAGGGTGAAACAAACTCAGCATGAAAAACATTTTGAGGCACAGGAGAGGACATAATTAACACAGCTCAACTCTATTTTCAAGTCACATAGGTATCTAGGATTTTGGCTCTTGCAACCTTTTCGATGATAAATGAAAAAAATTTCAAAGAGTAAAGTTAATGATATAAATGTATTCTATTTTATTTTATGTTTTGAGACAGAGTTTCAACTCTGTCACCCAGGCTGGAGTGCAGTGCTGCAATCTCTGCTCACTGCAACCTCCGCTTCCCAGGTTCAAGTGATTCTTGTGCCTCAGCCTCCTGAGTACCCAGAATTACAGGCATGCACCACCACACCCAATTCATTTTTGTATTTTCAGTAGAGATGAGTGTTTCACCATGTTGGCCAGGCTGGTCTCAAACTCCTGACCTCAAGTGATCCACCTACCTCGGCCTCCCAAAATGGTGGGATTACAGGTGTGAGCCATTGCACCCAGTCTAAAATGTATTTTAAATTGCTCATTTAAAGTCAGCAGAAAAAAAATCTAATTATTCACAGAATAAACTATATATTACAACATTCCAAATCTAAAATTATTTAGACATCCACTCACCTGAACAATTGAATGTACACCAACTGTCTGCATAGCTTGGCTTTCATCGTCTGAGGTAATAGCAACAAAACTAAACCCCCGAAAAAGCTGATGTGCATTAGCACTAGGTGGAATGCCAGGTGAATCTGAAAAGAGTAAGAAGTGACAAGATTCATTTGCAAGGTAACTAAGGGAAAAACTGTTGAGACTATGACCTTTTTCACTTATTCTGGAATTCTATTTCTCAGGTACACAGTATATACCTCTTGCCTTCCAGGATACCTGTGAGGCACTGTATCAGATCTTTTCTGATTGTGTATTGCCATTACAACACCAACATCCTAGTCCCTCGGAGCCTAGAAAATAGCTAATTCATTTGAAGAATAAATTGACGAATTATAGGGTTAATGATATTCAAAATTAATGCTGTCCCATGGAATTTCCTGAAATGATGGAAATTTTATCTTTACAGTCTAATATGATAGCTACTAGCTTCATGTAGCTTTTCAACATTTGAAATGTGCCTAGTGTGACTGAGAAACTACATTTTAAATTTTAATTAATTTAAATTTAATTAGCTACATGTGGCTACTGGCTACCATATTAGACACTGCGGCCCTCTATAATAACCCAGCTGGGGTGGAACGGGGGAGATACAAGGTGGATCTACAGCAAATTTAGGAGATTTGAAAATAGCATAAAGGGTTATCCTGGAAAAGGTTTTCATTTCTTCTTTTTGAGACGGAGTCTCGCTCTGTCACCCAGGCTGGAGTGCAGTGGTGTGATTTTGATGTACTGCAACCTCCACCTCCCGGGTTGAAGGGATTCTCATACTTCAGCCACCCAAGTAGCCAGGATAGCAGGCGCATGCCAGCAAACCCGGCTAATTTTTGTATTTTAGTAGAGACAGAGTTTCACTATGTTGGCCAGGCTCATCTCGAACTCCTGGCCTCAAGCGATCTGCCTGCCTTGGCCTTCTTCCCAAAGTTCTGGGGTTACAGACGGGAGCCACTGTGCCCAGAGTCTGGAAAAGATTTTCTGGTTGAACAAGAAAAAATATATATTTGTTATCTTATATCTGTATTTTCACATTTTCTCCTTACCTTTCGGAGTTTTTGCAGTAAACTCAGGATCAAAATAGAATGTATCTTCAGGCCTACCCGTTGCAGGTTTAAATGGTGGATGAATTTCTCTTCTATACAGTTTCTGGAGGAAAAAAAAAGAGACTTAGACATATTTTAATTCTAATGAAATATTTCAAGCAAGTTTTCATTCTATACTTACATTCCAGTCTATTGTTGAGAAAAACGAATGTCTTTTAATTTCTTCAACTCCATCTGGTCCTGCACCTATCAAAAATGGATTCATTGGTAATTTTATCTCTAGGAGAAATATACATATTGTTCAGCCTTTGCTTTCAATACTTGCCTAATTAATTAGTTACTTTTGAGACAAGGGCTTGCTCTATTATCCAAGCTGGAGTGCAGTGGTGTAATCTCAGCTTACTGCAGCCTTAACCTCTCAGGTTCAAGCGATCCTCCTACCTCAACCTCCTGAGTAGCTGGGACTACAGGTGTGCACCACCAGGCCTGGCTAATTTTTGTACTTTTTGTAAAGACGGGGTTTTGCCATGTTGCCCAGACTTGTCTTGAACTCCTGGACTCAAGTAATTCTCCCGCCTTGGTCTCTCAAAGTGCTAAGATTACAGGCATGAGCCAGCATGCCTAGCCTTGTCTAAATAGTTAATAATTCCACCATAAAACAAATATCCACTCCCCTCTAAAAACAAACACCAACAAATACACAACATAAACAAATTAATTAAAATTTTTACCTAATCTGTTTGCAGGATTTCGTTTGAAAAGCATTCGTAAAAGACTCTGGGCTTCAGGACTCAAGAACTGTGGCATTCCAAGTTTGGCTCTAAATAATAAATCCACATAATTATTTTATTTCTTGGAGGCATCTGTACTTTTATTTTTAAAAAATTTTAAATTAAGCTTTTTGAGATACTTGTAGGTTCACACTCAGTTGTAAGAAATAAAACAGAGAGATTCCCTGTGCCCTTTACCCGGTTTCTCCCAATGGTAACATCGTACAAAACTACAATACAATTATCATAATCAGGATATTGACAAGGAAACAATCCAATGATCTCATTCACATGGCACTGGTTTTACTTGCACTTATTTGTGTGTTTAGTTCTATGCCATTTTATTACATATATGGCTTCTGTATGAATACGTTAGTTTGTTTATCCATTATCTGTTGAAAGACATCTGTGCTGTGTCCGGTTTTGGGCTAATATGAATAAAGCCATGGTGAACATTTATGTACAAGTTTTCATGTGAACACGTAACTGAATTTCAGTTCATAATCTAATGAGCTTTTTAATTTTTCAAAATATTGCAAAGAGAACTGTGAAAGTAAGATCATTTGAATCCTAGTTCTGGCTCTGTTACTAAGAACTTTGTGACAGTGGGAAAGTCAATTATTCTGGGCCTGTTATCACTTCTTCATAAGCAAGGTGATTGGACACTAGACCAACGGTTCCCAAAGTGTAGCCTCGGAACTCCTCCTCAAAGGGAATTTATGAAACCTAACATTTAAAACTGCTAAGAGAACATGTGTTTCATATGCCACTTTTTCCTTTCCACTCCCTTTAACAGCCCCTGCAGGGAAGGGGAACTGGTGGGAAAGAGGATTATGGAATACTGAAGATATGTAGTCTAAAAACTGCTGGCCTGGATGAACTTGAAGGTCTCTTTCAGCTCTAATATATAATTTTAATTCTTTTTCCAGACCTACAAATTAAAGAAACCAATGATCCTGTAAGTATGACAATAATAACACAGCTGGGGAAAATTCCTATTTCAGAAACAGATTCATTTATTATTCAGTGAGTTGTTAGTGAGCTATTACATGCCAGACACTGTTTAGTGCTGAGGATACAGAGATAAAGAGAGCCCATGGACCCCACAGTCCATGGTGAAGATGGATACAGATAATATATTAAGAGACAAACGCAGAAGAGCATACACAAAGAGTGACAAGGGACCAGTAGGGGATATTTAATTTAACATGGGAGATTATGAAAGTTCTTGAATACAATCTAAAGGCTGATAATTTATTCATTTGGCTAGTGTTTCCCCATATTTTACTGAATAATATTAATCCCTCTAGATATGTAGCAACAATAAAAAAATTCATGACCCAATGAGCTTGTAGAATGGTATCTATTATATCCCCTTATTAGAGACACAGAATTAAAATACACCACATATAAAAAGACTGAGAAATCTAGAGCAAAAAAATCAGCCGGGCATGGTGGCTTACACCTGCAATCCCAGCACTTTGGGAGGCTGAGGCAGGTGGATCACAAGGTCAGGAGTTCAAGACCAGCCTGACCAGTATGGTGAAACACCGTCTCTACTAAAAATACAAAAATTAGCCAGGTGTGGTGGCATGTGTCTGTAATCCCATCTACTCAGGAGGCTGAGGCAGGAGAATCGCTTGAACCCGGGAGGCGGAGGTTG